ATTAGCCTCACCCTGGAAAGAAGAGAAGAATTCCTTTTGATAGGCCATCCATCGTCAATGGATGAATGCTTTGGCATGTTCCTAGGATGGAGGCTATTCAACAGAGAAAATAAAGGGCTGTTCTCTTTCCAGTGAGGTTAGACAGAAAAAGTCAGGCTGTGGGGTTTTGTTTTGACAAATGCCAAGGATAACAGAAAAGATGAACAGAAATACACATTGCTTCCAGTGCAATCGATGGTCATTGTAGGCAATTATCTTTAAACTCTATGGCTAATCCTTTGCCTGATTTTATTTCTTTGCTGGCTAGAGTATGTCTCAGGTTACCAATTAAAGAGTTATAACAATCAGACATTGATTTGTACCATGCCTCCAATGCACGCCGAGAACTGTCGTAGTACATGGCCAGGTATAGAACATTAGGCAGTTAAGTAGCCATGTGTATTTTATCTGGTCTTGTTTCTTTCAGTGGGTGTTAACTGTACTTAGCTGAGCTACATTTTGTTCAACCTTTTGTGCATGGTTAGATTGGAAGGGTCAACCCAAATTAACCAAACAAGACTCCATGAGTACATTTTCTACTGTTTGAAAAACCCAATAATAGTATGTATTTTTATCTTCTGATTTTTATTGAAAAAGAGCCCCTTTAAAAGATGTGGTATAAGCTAACAATCTAAGCAACAGAAGAGAGGCTACCTTAAATGCCCTCCCCTGATAATGAGATTGATGACTGACTCATATGCTACCAGATAGCCCAAATCCAGCAGCTGGTGGAAGTAGAAGCTGACACGCACAACTAATCACTGAACTGAACTGGAATCCAGATGCAGAGAAGGACGAGTGAAGAGCAAAGGTTAAGGGACCAGCTCCCCATTTCGGCAGCCATGACAGTAATACGTGCTTGCCATGACCTTGCCTTGGCCACTAAGAGGTCAGATGCCTGCCTCGTGGCAAGGAACCAATCAGAAGTTAGCTAGTGGTGCTATGCTTTATGGCTCTGTGTGCTTTACGAACAAGTGCACAGCAATGATGCGCAGAGCATAGCAACCAATGGGAGGGCTTATGGGCCATAACAACCAGTTGGCCAATCAACACAGGGCAAACCCTCCAAGCCTGGAGCACACCGATCCTGAGTCTGTGCATATCCTTAGACACCCCCCTTACGCTGCCCTACAAGATCTCTATGCAGCAAGTTCGAGCTGTCTTTGCTAGCCATCCGCTATGGCGGGTGGGTGAAGGACCTGAGCTAACATGGGGTTAGCTTGTTAAACAACAATAAAGCCTCAAGCTGTTTGCATCAAGCTTTCGAATCCGCCTGGTGATTGGGGTGACCGAGGTCCTAAGCTAAGACCCTGGAAACCTGAGCTTTCTGGGGGTCTTACAAAGGGATTCAAACCAGGCTGTTGAAACCCATAGAAACAGCTGACCTGAACATTGGGGAGCTCTTCCTCCCCAGACTGACAGCTGGGATACCAGCATGGGACTGAACCAGACCCCAGGAACATGGGTTTCAGTGAGGAAACCTCGGAAATCTACAGGACCTCCTGTAGTAGTTCAGTCCTTATCCCTAGCATAGGTGTGGACTTTGGGAGCCCATTCCATATAGAGGAATACTCCCTGAGCCAAGACACACAGGGGTGGGTCTAGGCCCTATCCCAAAGGATACTATAGACTCTGATGCCACTTTGTGGAAGGCCTCACCATCCAGGGGGAGCAGAAAGGATATGTGATAGGTAGGGTTTTAGTTGGGGGTGGTGGTGGTAGGGGAGGGTGGTTGGGAGAGGGAACTGGGATTGTCATGTAAAACAATCTTGTTTCTAATTCAAATTAAAAAAAAGATGTGGTAAATTAGTTAGGCTGTGGTGGTGCATGCCTTTAATCCTAGCACTTGGGAGGCAGAGGCAGGCGGATCTCTGTGAGTTCAAGGTCAGCCTGGTCTACAGAGCAAGTTCCAGGACAGTTATGTTTACACAGAGAAACCCTGTCTTGAAAACGAAAAAATCAAATCAAAACAAAACAAAACAAAAAGTGGTATATTTTGACTTTAGTATCTGAAAATGATTTTCTTGCCATTTTTTAAGGAAAGTGGGAGTAGGGAGATTAACGATAGTTGTGTCTCAAAAGGGCTCATTATGGGGAGTGTGGAAGGTGAGCTAGAGACAGCATCATTATTTCTCAGGGCACTGATATTTATGCAAGAGACTCATGCATGATGAGCAGGTACCCTACCATTGAGCTCTACTCCCAATCCTAGAGAATATTATTTATAAAAATAATAAAATAATTTACATACCATTGTACAAATTCTTACACTTAATGCATCACCAGAGTTATTTGGTACAATTAAGTGTATTTATATGTGAGAGCTATACACTATCCCAAATATGAGATTATAATTACCTAATCATGCCTCTATAGATATCATGGTTACCTAATTTACAGCCATACATTCCTAAACTGGAGTGATTTTCACCTATCCCCTTCTTGCTAGTTGTATTCTCTTTCCTTAGGGTTAGGCAGGGATACTCTCCCTTCCTCTTCCTCCAACACAGAACGAAGCCCAGTAAAGCAGCACACTAGTATTCTGGTTGTGGGTGACCAGTTACAAGCTGACATATATCCCAAGCTGGGGTGATCTGAGCTTTCGCTGGCATCTGAAGAAGCAGGTGCTCTTTATCACCCATTGTGTAGATGATGCCTACTGGGGCTTGCAGGCTGGTGCATTTGTGACCATAAAGGAGCTCCAGCCACTGAGTGGAGTCCACATAAGAGAAAGAAAACACATGGATGCTGAAGCCTACCTAACCCTACATCTCTCTCAAATGTGTAACAAATTCTCCCTGGTGTGTGTTTCTGTGGTGGCAGGTGTGTCTGGGGATGCATGTGTGCATGTAGAGGCCAGAGATAGGTGTTGGGTGTCTTCCTCTGTCCCTCAGGCAGGGTCCCTCATTGAGCCCATTACTCACTAACTGGCTCAGCGGAAAGGCCAGTGAGATCCAGGGATTTGTTTTTCTCTGCTCTCTTGCCTAATGATACAGTATTGGGGTCATAGATGTGTGTGAGCAAATCAGATGTTTTTATGTGGTGGCTGGAGATCTGAGCTCAGGTCCTCATTCTTTTGTGGCTGGTGCTTTACCCACTGAGCCATCCCTCCAGCCCCAAATCTCTCCTTTAAAACCTCATTAATGCAGAAGTTACATGTAGTAACAAGAAATGGAAACACTTACCTTGTAAATGAGACAGCAAGAGGGGGATGAGGACCATTTTCCTACATTTAAACAATTATTTGAGGGGATTCTAGTAGCGCTCTTTTCATGAACAGCTTAGCCTGGAATTAGGTTGTAATTTAGAGGCTGGCATATTTTACAGACACTTTCAACACTGCAGGATTACAAAAGGCCATGTTCTACCACAGTAAGGTCCCCTATGATGCAGTCACTAGTGCTTAGGTGATTAAAGCATAAATAATGGGGCGGGAGAGTCGCAGCAGAAAATGAAGCCAGAGGGAGGCTGGGCTAAAGTGTGTGTGTGTGTGTGTGTGTGTTTGGAGGAAGTATGTCACTAGGGGCAGGCTTTGAGGTTTTGGATGCTCAAGACAGACTCAGTGCATTCTCTCTTCCTGTTGCTTGTGAATCCATATATAGAACTCTTGGTTTCTTCTCCAGCACCATGTCTGCTCATGCATTGCCATCCTTCCTGCCATGACAATAATCTGAACTGTAAGTCAGTCCGGTAGGAGAAACTGTGGCCATCCTATCCAAGCCACAGTTGTCCTGCCAGGCCAGGTGCCCAGGCCAGCCTGCATGGGAATGCTCATGCGCATGCGTATGCGCATGCGTGGCAGACACTTCCTAAGCCAAACCACTAAGCCTGCCTCAACGCTGAATGCCAGATGTTGCTGGTTACCCTGCTCGAACACCCCTTGTGGGAGGGAGGGGATGAGAAGACACACCACCAACTTAGGCACTGAGTCAGTGAGTAGCAGAGCTCAGGCACTGGGAGTCGGTGAGTAGCAGACTCGTTTATTAAGGAAGTTAGACCTGCCTTTATACCCCCTCCCAAGGCCCTATTGGCTCAGGCACTGACTCTGCTGTGTGTCCCTTCCTCATTGGTGTCTCTGGTTAGGTGTCTTTCCATCAGCAGTCTCTGGGCATTGAGGCAGGCTTGGAGGCTTGGCTCACAGAGGAAGTGCCTTCTGCACATGTGCATGCTGGCTGGGGAGGGCACGAGGGGGTGAGGGGTGGGGGAGGGGTGGAGGTGGGAGGTGTGGGGTGTGGAGGGTTTGGGGGGGGGGGTGGGCTGGCCGCAGTTTCTCCCACAAGACCCAATTAAATGCTTTCCTTATAAGAGTTGCCACTGTCATGGTGTCCCTTTGCAGCAATAAATAGAAACCCTAACTAAGTCACTGGGTCTAAGCATGTAACTCACTTTAGCCCAGAACCTGTCATTCTCTTGCATTAAGATTTAATGTAAATTCTGAGTTACAGGCATTGTCACTGAAGGAGAACAGCACTTGGCATTTTGTGGTTGCCTGCTGTTGACATTTTCCCAGCTCCATTAGCGAATACGCCACATACGCCACACCTATGGTCCATGTGTCTATTACGTCCATTCTAACATTTCCAGCTTCACCCCCTTGAACTTTGGGGCTTTAACTTGGAATTTTTTCCCAGGCCTGTCTTAGATTTTCCTAATTCTGTCTTCAATCTCTACTACACTGTCAGTCTTATCCGAGGGTTCTTACGTTTCAACATCTTATTATTTTTATTGCAGTTCTAGAATTTCATTATAGGTTTTTACATAAATTCTAACTCCATATTAAAACTTTTTCTCTTTTATTTTTTTCTAATTTTGTGACGTCACGCACATTGTATGTTCTTGTCCTTTCCCTGTTTGGGCAGCTTGGCTTGGAGGGTTGAAGACCTCAATCTTGTAAGTGTTAGTGTCATACAGTTCTCTGGTTAAATCCAATCTACCTCTGCTGTTGGGTGTCTGAAGGATAATATGCTTACTACAACACTCCCTCTAGTGGTGTTGTGTATACGAGACAGGGAAATCTCATTGTCTTTTCAGACCACCCTAGTCTCTCACAGTCTCAATGCCTTATGGGAAAATCAGTCAGGCTTGGGGACTGCACTGGATCAGCTTGAAAGAAACTAGAGTCACTTAAGAAGTGGAAACCTCAATCAAGAAAATTGCCCCACTGGGTTGGCTTGTGATGCATGTTCTTCGTTGAAGATTGCTGTGTCCATCTCACTGAGGGTGACATCAAACTCTGAGCCGATGGCCCTGGGTGCTAGAAGATAGCAGGCTGAGCAAGCCACAGGGAGCAAGCTGGTGAGCAGTCTTTTCTTCCTATGTTGCCTTTGGCCATGGCATTCTACCACAGCTATAGAAACCCTAACTAAAACAGGAGCCTCTCTAGTTTTCATCTGTCATATTGGCCTACTTGACCAGAAGAAGCTGTACTAGTTTCTCCGATCCCTTAGCCTGTTATACTAGTCCTCGGCTTATATTAGATTCAGCATATGTCTTCAGAAAAGAAAGTAGCAATTTCGGTTCACACAGGAAAGACTTTCTTTCTTTCTTTCTTTCTTTCTTTCTTTCTTTCTTTCTCTCTTTCTTTCTTTCTTCTTCCTGATGTTGCAACTGGACTGCTAGATTACTGTTATTTGATAGTGTTCCCTGCCTGAGTGGAAAGAATGCTGTAGCTCTCATAATTTGTTGATGCTTTGCTCCTATGGATATGAATTATATTGAAATACTGTGAATTCAAACAGATCTAACATGTTTAAAATTTGGTAGGTTATTTGCACAAATGGATATGCCAACAACTTTTTATTTTTATTTTATTTTTTTACTGCCCCTTAGGACCATGTACATGGCAGATTACAAAAACAACATAAGGGCTGGAAAGGAAGTATATTGCTTTTGTAGAGGGCCAGAGTTTGGTCCCCAGCATCCACATCAGTCAGCTTACAAGGCTTGTGACTCCAGCTCCAGGGCATCTGACACCCTCTTCTGGTCTCTAAGAGGACCTGCTCCCATGTTCACATACCCACAGGCACACATGCATACATACAATTAAGAATAAAGACATAAGCCTTAAAACATCATAAACTACTTTATTTGGCATATGCTGTATTTAAGGCAATGTCCCTTTAAGCTCTTTCTCAGTAGATACCAAGGTCTGGATATAGAAATTGAAGTTTCAAAAGGTTAAATATATAGTTCAAATAATCAACGACAGAGCTGTTGCTTGATCTAGGTTTGTCTGACTTCCATTGCTTGCAATTATTTGATCAAAAGCATTCTCAAACAGAGACTACAATCGATCAATCAGGAAGTGTAAAGGTGGTGCCTGCTCCATTCATAATGGCCTGTGGATGCTGAGATTCGGATGTACTCCAGTGACTATTTAATACCACCCAGTCCCTTATTTAAAGATGTACAGGGAGGAACAAGTGGATGTCCTAACACATATTAAGACAGAGCCTTCACATTTCTGGCACTACATCCAAGCTATTCAATTTCAAAGTGTTTAAGCCCAATGTATAAACGTCAAGCTAATTTACCTCATACTTTCCCACCAACAGATCTATCTAGTTTTGAGGTTTTCTGTTTGCTTGTTTTGTTTTTTTGAGCCAGGGTTTTTCTGTGTAGCCCTGGCTGTCCTGGAACTTACTCTGAAGACCAGGCTGGTCTCAATCTCTGAGATATGAATGCCTTTGTCTCCCCGGTGCTGGGATTAAAGTCATACACCACCATACCTGACTTTGTTTTTGAGTTTTTAAGGGAAATTTGAAAATGAATTTTAAGTCAGGACATCCTTAAGAGTTAAGCTAACTTTGCCAAAAGTTGCATTGCTTTAAACTATTTTTTCCTGATATGACTATGACACAGTGATTAGGCAAATGGAAACATTTCTTCTCACTGTTTCTACATGTTTTTTTTTTTTCCCTAGGTCCTGCAATGTGGTTTTATCTCACTGCCTCTCAGACACCAGTGTCTAATTAGAAGGCCCATGAGGGTGTTATGCTGTGCTGATTATATGTGTGTTTTTCTCTTATTTAATTTTAGCTTCAGGAAGGTTTAAACTCCCATGACATTTTCTTCTTCCTTGTGGCCTCTGCTTGCAGCAGAATTAGTCCCAGGAGTTCCCATTTAAGTAGAGAGGAAGCAAACTCACAGGAAATACAGGGATGACAGCTGCTACTCCTGGTATAAGTTTCTTATGGGGAATTAATCTTATAGGCTCTGTCAGAAAATAAAAAAACAATGTTACACAGAAATCCTGTCTAGAAAACAAAAACAAGAACAAAAAAAAAAGGAAAGAAAGAAAAGAAAATTAATAAAACAAACAGAAAACCTAAAAGGCTGATAATCATTCCAAATGATTCGTTTTTTTTTTTTTGATCAAAGCCCAGAAAAATGAAATAATTTGCCCAAGATCATTTATCTTTTAGTAAGCCTAAAATAAGCCTGGAACAGAGTGGTGCAAAATATCCAGAAATGCCATGCTTTGGGTCTGTGTTGTTTCCAAAGCCCTTTCTAAAGTCCATCCCAGAGGCCCTCATTGTAGCCACTCCACATGAGGCTGAGGAGGCTGACAACACTGCCTGTCCCTTCACAAACACTTCAGGAACCCCCACTTTTAACTCCCTGCAGCCAGGATAAGACCCTGGAGACTTGCCCCAGTCCCCAGACTTGAGTAAGTCACTGGCACCTGCCTGGTGACACAGTACAATCCCAACAGAGAGGAGGGAATGCTTTGCAAAGACAACATGGTGTGCTAGCTAATAAGGATGGGAGTTCTAATCTAACTCTAAAAGTAGTAAGCAAAAGAGGTTCAGAGAAAGGTAGCCTTGGTGCCAGTCTCATAAGCATTTCATACACAATTCTCACATTCTCTCGGAACATTCTCTGTTGACCCTACAGTCAGCTTGCACAAGCAACAGAAAGCCAGTAATGTGACTCTCTGACTCATTGTTAGCTCACTGTAATGTTACACCAGAGGGTCAAGGTCAGCTATCATGGAAATGTTCTCACAAATGGTAAACAGAAATCTGGGCTTTTGTGGCTGTGAAATGCATATACTGACATTTCTAATGTGCCTCCTTTGGGTGAATCATATGCTATTCGAGCTCTGGACACCATGCTATCTGCCTCTTACACCACAAGGAAGGGACTGGTCACACTGTAGGCAGGAAGCAAAAATGATCCTTTGTTTTCTAATCTCCCTAGAGACCCAGTCTCTACTGGTGCTGCCAATGCAGGGGTGGTTCACTAGAGCTGCAGGGTGCTGCACTTCCAGGAGGTACAGGGTGTAGCAGGGAATGGCCAGCAGATATCTATAAAGCGTTTGGCTATTGAGACATTGTATCAACCATTAGCATTTTCTTAGTTCTGCCTACCTTGGCAGTAGCAGCTTACAGTCCTTACTAATTATTCTCCATCTCTGTGAGAAAGTATGCCAGTCAGTAAGACCCTCTGGGTGGCCACCTGACACCCTTTCCCAGGTTTCCATGTGGAGCTTCTCAGAGGGACTCTTTGCTGGTCCTTTCCTCACTGTTCCCAGGGGACCAGTATGGAGCTGATTAGTAGGCAACACTGTTTGCCTCTCATTTGGATCAATGTAACCTACTATAAAGTCTCAGGATCTGCTACATCTCCCTCCTTTTCCCAAGTCTGCAAACAACAGTGGCTCTATGGTTACATCAGCTTCTTTGGGTGGGTTTTCCTCCATTTTACGCGGATGTGATTGCTAGCAGCAAATTCCAAGGCCCACTGGCTCTCATTTTTGTTTGTTTGTAATAAGGGTGCTATCTTTACTTCTGTATTGCTGACTCTGTTATCTCCCAATGGGTTGTTACCTCAGGCAGACAACAGACACATGGACACTGATTCCAGAAGCCTCAGCATGAAGCTACAGCTGTTCCCCTAGCAGGGAGTTCTTAGAATAACCATGAGTGAGTTAATGGGCCTAGGTAGAGAAGAATCTTAGGACTCTGGCTCAGGGCCCACAAGTTAAGGGGATGCTCTTGGAATAAAAGACAGTGACATAACCAATGCACAAACAACTCAGGTCAAACTTTCAGAACATGAGGTGGCTGAGGGTAAAATGACAGAGGGTGAGACACCCTGACACGAAATGAACATAGGCTGATTAAATAAAAAAGGAAGGAACTTTTGAACAAAGTCCTTGATGTTTCCTGTTTCTGGCTGGCCTGAGTGGCCTCTACCTGACTCATTCCCCAGCATCTGTCCTACTTCTGCTTAATAGCAGAAGTGAGACTTGACTAAGCACACAGGGAGTTAGAATGGCTTCCTGAAGACAGTTGGGACTTAATATGAACATATTAAATGTTGAGGAAGTGTTGAGGAAGAAGCAAGCAAGGGTTGGGGACCAGGCATAAGGCTAATGCTGCTGAGGAATTTTTAACAGAGGTGGAATCAGATGACATTCTTCCCAGGCAAGGCCAAGGCATGGCAGACATAACAGATGGTCAGCATGGAGATCAGAGGCGCTGAGGCCATGGACACTGCTGTCCCTTCCTGACCCTGGGTATTCAGGCCAGAGTAGAAGAGAATACAACATGACATCTCAGCACTGCTTGACATCTTGGATTAAGAAAATAAGATGTCTGTGATGACGGTGGTAGCTTTTGTTTATAGAACACTTAAACATGATCCAGGCCTTTCCCCAGGTTGTATCTTTGATTCTGTTTACCAGAGCCTCATACGCATAATTTGGCTTCTTACATTTTGTTTCATCTTCACAAAGAAGTTAATTGACTCTCAGAGCCACACAGCTGACAGATAGATTTGTTACTCATCTGTTCTACCCCAAAGGCCATGGATAAATAGCCAGTCTATATGCCCATTCTACAGGTCTCCTTGAAGACACCTGCACTGTTCACTGAGGAGGACTGTCACAGTGGGGAAGTCCTCTTTTCTACTCTAGTTTGGAGGGAAACTATCAACCCCAATTCAAAGATAACTAATCAGTATTTGTAAAAAATTTTTGTTCCAAGGAAGGATTATCATTTTTTCTAACAGATGGAGTTGGTATAGTTATGTTCTTGCTTATCAAACTAACCAAATGGCTTTGTAGTTTCTTCATTGGTGTAGAAAAGCATGACATGTAGACCATATGGTCTCAGGTAAAACTTAAAGGCAATGCTGGATGTGCACATGAGGGATTTAGAAGGACATGGCCAACTGGACTGCCTAGGACTGCAGATGGACTTTCTTCCTTGGTGGTTTCCCTGTAATTCACATGCTAATTAAAAAAGCGCTCTTTTCTGATCCTTTATTTTATTTTATTTTTTATCATTTTTAAAAATTTGAATTAGGAAAGATTGTTTTATATGACAATCCCAGTTCCCTTCTCCCTCCCGTCCTTCCCTATCCCCCCAACTAAAACCCTACCTATCACATATCCTTTCTTTTATTCTTCACCTGACTCAACCTTTCTGCTCCCTCATGACCTCTGCATCCTTCCTCTTCTTCCCTTCTCATTCTCGTAGCTCCCTCCCCGCTCTTCCCATGCTCTCAATTTGAAACAACGCTCTTTTTAAAACAAAAGCAGAATATGGGAAAGGAGAAAGGAAGAGAGGACGTGGGTGAGAGGACGAAGAAGAGAAGGAAGAGGAAGAAAAGGGAGGTGAGAAAAAGGAGGGAAGACGAGGAAGAGGGGAAAAGGAGGTGGAGTTTGCCACTGACATCAAATGTCTGTGCTCGGAGTCATACCATCTGTGAGCACCACTTCCCTGAAGCAAGCCAGAGGGAACATATTTTTTTCTCCTTTGATACTCTCTGGTCACATCACAAAGATCTTCCTCAAGGTTCTAGGAAAAGGATGGGAGAAATCTCGAGCCGATACCCTTTAGTCTTCATTTGTTGTGCACACACATCTCTCTACTGTGGAAAGCTGCTCCTATGTTGATCTTTTATATTTCTCTTCTCCACTAAGACCATAGAATAATTTCCTATGCAAAGTTAACTTCTCATTTTCTGTAAGATGCAACTAAGATCTTTCAAAATTTTCCATACTCTGGATCCAACAAGCTTTCCCAACTTTGCCTCCCCTTTCTGACCCTTAATCTTCATCCTGGACCAAGCATCCTTCCAGTCACACCTATACCTCTTCATCCTCATTCTCTTCTGTGGTATAGAATACTTTCAAACCCAGCATCCTCACTCAAGATGTTATTGCCATCTTTACGGAATGTAGTCCTTTCCTCACAATCTAACAAAAATCTTTTAAATCTTTCTTGACTTTATAAGGCCAACCTGGCAAATAACACAGTTGTTGCCAGGCTTTGACTGGCTTGCTTCAACAACAGATGCTGCCATAACTCCTTTGAAGAAACTCTTTGGGAGAAACCCACACGGATAAAGGACATAAAGGTGAAAAATGGTGTTAAGTTCTGTAAAGGCTGAAAGAGCAAAGGCAACAGCGATACTCTTAGCAATGAGACAGTAGGAACAAGATAGTTGTGCTTTGGGAAAGAACATGGAAGGAGAGAGATGAAACAGAATGTAGGTTAGAGGGTGTGTGTAGAGGGAAGAAAGGCCGCTGGTGACATGGTGGGATTACTTGAAGGGAAGCTACTTATACAGATTCCTCAATCTTGATTGGCTGAAATGTATCTTAAATACAACTCTCATGTCTAAGGTGAAGTTGAATTTGGAGTAGAGTCCACTGCCACAACAGCTCTCAGTTGTTTTATGATATCCTTGTATGTCTGGGAATGTATCACAAGTATATGTGGATCTACGCGTATGTTTGTGTGAAATAAAGTAAGGGCCTGGGTTTTATGTCCTTGTTGCAGTGATACTAGATTGAGTTGAAACTTGGGGATCAGATGTGACCACATGGATGATCAAATGGCACCAGCGCAAACCTTGAAAGTTCAAATGAACTTACCTAGTTTTCAAGAGGCAGTTACTGGCATTTACTGCCACATTCCTAGAAGGTACAGCTTATACCTGTTGTCTTCACCTTTACAGCTAGTGCCTAGCTGGGCCTGCTGCTTTGGGAGGTTCTGGAAACTTAAGGAGGAGGAACTGGGCTATTGGGAATATGCCTTTGAAAATAATATCTGATACCTGTCTTTCCTTCTCTCTCTATTTCCTGTCCACCAAGAAGTAAACTGAAACGTTTATCTAATTATTCTTTATCAATAAAAACTTGGAAATCAGATATTGGGGTAAGAACCTGAATGATCAGCGAAGTGGTGGAGAAGTAACCAGTGATCTCCTCTCTCTTGTTCCTTGATCCAAAGAAGCCAAGACTCTCTCTAAGCCCTGCCCTGCTACTTCCTGTGTCTATCTGTCCTCAGTCCCCCAAAACCTCTATGGCTAATATTTGTCAGTTAGCAACTAGCTCCACCCTCTGAGTCAAAGCAAACTTTATTGACAGTTTCATCAAAGGCTTCAGAATGCAATTAAAATATCCCGAAAGAGTGGATGGCTTCCAGCTCCACCCATTGCCACTGTCATGCTTTACTGGTAAAGTAATAGAGCGACCAACCACAGACTACATTATGAAGCATGAACCAGGCATTGAGCAGTTGGTGGCTAAGCCTTTAGGTGCCAATCCTATTCAAGAATTACAGCATCTTTGGGTGGGGTTGGCATGGGAAGCTGAGAATGCTTAGTCTCTTTGGTCATGGTCTACAGAGGAAGTGTGATTCCTTTTACTCAGCACTATGCTGAAAGCTCCCATCAGCCCCAGAGTGTAGGGGAATCAGTTCCTTATGGACAGAACTGTTCAGGAATCTCTTAGTGGTCAGACCCTCCAATCCAGCTGCTATCAATAAAGCTGTTGGTTTAGCCATCTCTCTGCCCGTTTCACTACTTTCACACAGACAGAAGCAGTATTGTGTCTCTTGTCTCTAAACCCCTAACAGATGCCATTGCTCCTGTTCAGGCAGAGCTGCATACTGGTCCAGACATCAGTGAAGATGCTGCTGCTACTGAAGAAGCTGATCTATGTGTCTTGTACAAGGCTAAATGCTTCCCTCCCCCCACCTCTGGTGGATCCTGGCACCTTTGTGGGTGATTCAGACTGGATTTGGGACTTGACTTTTCTAGTGACACTTTGGTCTATTTTCTGTTTGGAGAGTCCAGGAAGGGACTGACTCCTGAAGGTAGACAATGTCCCCTCTGGCTTAGTCTGCACCCAAAGGAATTGGTCTCTGCATTAAAGAAGTGTGAAATGTCTGACCACTGCTGAGAAGATCATCACTAGAAAGCTGTGCTGGGACGGTGTCCAAAAGGCATTTTATTGTCTTGCTTTTTTTTTTCTTTTGAGACAGAATCATTCTACATAGCCCAGGCTTTTCTCAAATTCATAATCCTCTTGTCTCTCTGACTCTCAAGTGCTGGGATTACAGATGTATACCACTGCACCTGGCTTCAAGAAGGATTTTAGGGGGTTGGGATATAACTCACTTGGTAGGGTATTTACTCAGTGTGCACGAAGCCCTGGGTTTAATCTCCAACACAGTACAACACCAGGCATGGTGGTATATAATTGTACCAGGCCAGCATGGACAACATGAGGGCCTGTCTCAAAATAAAACAAAACAAAACAACACACACACACACATGCACACATACTCACAATGAACAACAAACAAAAAAGGAAAATGAAAGACATGTTAAAACCTGGTATTTGAATCTTCCAGCTTCTGTTTTGTCAAATAAAATACTTTTGTACACTGAATCATCCCATCCATCATTTATGGACAAGTTACCATTTCACCCCTGCTTTGTGGAAAGAATGTTTTCTAAAGTTGGCCATTCCAGTTTGTTATGACCGATTATAATATCGGCCAAAAAGGCATGCCTGGCAGGGGTGGAGGATGTCACACTGACCTTTTACTGATAACTTTAGATCACCCTTTCCCAACTTTCCAAAGTAAAAACAAAAAGAAAAATAAACACAGCAAAAAATAACTGCTAAGAGTTTAAGAGTCATGTTAGATGGCTTTACCATGTCTTGCTAAAACAAAATGAAAGTTTGTTTTCACCTCCTAAAGATACATGTAATTGAGAGTGATTTTTGAGGATATAATGATAGAAAAAATCTATGAAATACCTGTTGGCAGGCTCCTATGCTGGCTTCAGAAAGTAGCTCAGTATCTCTGTTAACCAGAAGATTATGTTTAAACACTGCAGGGAACGGAGCCTGTTGCTGGCTATAGGAGAACACAGGGAGGGGTCTGTTCTGAAGTAGCCCAGATAGGGCTATATTCTATATCCACATACAATCTTAGCTTCTACCTGATCAGGGTTCCCCAAAATGATATTCCAGAGGATGGAATTTGGGGATCATATAGGGTGTGGTGGAAAAAAAATCCTAAAGGCATCCCATGGTCAATGAGGTTTGAGAAAACCTGCATTTGTCTCTCAATTCCATGGAGGTTCTCAGTGCATGCCCAGTATTTGTAATCTTTTTATAATAAGATTTATTTATTTATTTATTTATTTATTTATTTATTATGTATACAGTGTTTTACAGGCATATATGCCTGAATGCCAGATCTCATTACAGATGGTTGTGAACCACCATGTGGTTGCTAGGAATTGAACTCAGGACCTCTGGAAGAGCATCCAGTGCTCTTAATCTCTGAGCCATCTCGCCAGCCCCAGTATTTATAGTCTTTGAGGAATCTCACAGAAAAGAAACTGGTTCTCTTTGTGTAAGCCCCGTTCTCCAAAACCTGAGCATACTCCCATCCACCACTTTGCTACCAGAAAGATCCATGCAGGGACAACCTAGGACCTTACAACCTGCCTGCTCTCAGCCCCCGAGTGCTCAGGAGAAAGTAAAATCCCCTTGACACGGTCCATGAGGTTCCATCTAAGTTGCCTATCCCTACATTCCAGCTCACGTGCTTCCATATTGACCTTTGCTTTCTGCACTTCCTTTTAGACCTTGTGCCCGGGTGTTCTTACCACATGGCTAAGACATAACTCTTCCCTCAGTAAGAGTTACAATTCTGACCCCCATGTCCTCTAGTCTGCTTTTCACACTTGCCTGTTAATCTCAGGTTGGCTTGCTGAGGTTTCACATTCTGTGGTTTCACTAACTGTGGTCAGCTGTTATCCAAAAATAGTAAATGGAAAATTCCAGAAATGAACAGTTGGTAAGGTTTAAGTAACAGTCCTTTTTCTAGTAATGTGATAAAGTCTTGCTACACTTTTTGTCCAGTAAATCCACTCTGTGACCTTACCCAGTCCAGTCTGTATCCGGTCACCTGGTGACCATCTCAGTCATCAAGTCAATGGTTATGGAATTGCAGTATGTTCATACATAGAGTTTGGCACTATCTGTGTTTCAAATGTCCACTGCGGGTGTGGGTCTATCTATCTCATGAAGATAAAGAGGACATTCTACAATTTGTGTTCTTTCTGTTTTATTCACTGCCATCAAAGCAATTTTTGCAAATAGTTTAAATACTTAGCAACTATTTTTCTCCCTTACTCCCTCCCTCTCTCTCTTTCTCCACAGTACTGTGGAGGGAATGTGCTTTGATGGATTAACCCTTAAGTGTTATGCTCACCTACTCTTCCTCCACAGCTAGTACAGAGTCTTACCCAAGAACAGATTTACAGTGAAGAGTTGCTGTAGTCTGGCTCATGACTGGTTGAGGTTTCCTGCTCCAAAGTCCTCAGGTTCGTGGGTCCTAGCCAACCAACCCTTACAGCAACAATGTCCTCATATGTCCTAGCCAGTCCTTACAGCAGCAATGTCATTATGAAGTTGATGTTACAAGTTCTCCTGGAGCCTTCTCAGGGTATTGTATTTTCAAAAGAGCTAGCATCCTACCTGCAGTGATAATTCAGTGGTGGAATGGAATACTAGCTCAAGTGCCATAAGCCAGAGACTAGAATCTTCTATGTGTTTCCAATGACTCTGGGCCTCCGAAGGACAGCAGGGGGTCCCATTTCAAAGAGGCTTCAGAAGGGGGGCTCTTCAAGTTCAAAGTCTATGTGAATTTTGTATATATATATATATATATATATATATATATATATATATATATTTCTAGGACTTACATTTATTCTGGATTAAAAAAATTATCATCTTCATTTCCCCTTTCTACATTTCCATTTTATTACCCAGACCACAGTATTTCTAAAATCTGCACAGACCATATTGACAAACTGGAAGACAGCAGAGCCTTCAAAAGCTTTAGTGGGCTCTAAGCTCACTCCCATGTTCAAAATCTGTCAGCTCCTTTGCAAGTACTTGCTCCACAGAAATAAAAATGAGTTTGCCCCAGTCTGGTTGCCCTGATCACTTTGTTTCTTAGCTGTGATGGAAGCAAAGACCTGCTCCTTATTTAACAAGAGCACTCACAAGTTTGTGTTTTCTAGCTCTGTGGTCAACAGAAATAAAAGGGAGGCCTCAGCTCCTTCTGGCATCAGAGTTCAGAGTCACTCCACAGATGCTAACTGGGGCTGAGCTAGGTTGATTTGGGAGATTAGAGGGGCAGAAGCCTGAGGTCTCCTTTGTGGCCCTTCTCGCCACTCTCATCCATCTGTGCTGTCAACCATGTTCTGGTTGGGAGGTAATTTCATCCTTGCTGCACTTTCTAAAAGCTATCAATTCTTCTGACAGTTAATAATGTCATGATGGGATGGTATCCAAGGTCAAGGCTCACCAGTATCCTAAAATATACCACTGGGGAGGGGGGAAGATCATTAATAATAATGAAAATAATAATAGAAGAGCATTAAAATATTCTCCAGCCTGGTTTCTTTTAGACTCTTAATATCTTTCATAATTTAGGACCCATTAGTTTATGCTAATCTCAATATAAATTCAAAGCTGATTTCCTTTGCAGGGCACTTGGAAGTCAGATCCAAGGATCGAATTCTAATGATAGCGTGGCTGTAGGTAAATTCGATTACCACCATATAAACCACTTCCCTCATCAATACAAGGCAATAGATCATTTTTCATGTACATTGTACAAAGCATTGAAGATGAGTGTATGTTGGCAGGTATAGAAACCACTTATAACATGCCTTGTATTACGGTGACCTTCCTTGTCTTATCCATCTATCTATCTATCTATCTATCTATCTATCTATCTATCTATCTATCTATCTATCTATTAGAAACAAGCTTGTTTTACATGTCAATCCCAGTTCCCTCTCCCTCCCGTCCTCCTCTGCCCCCCACTGACTCTCTATCCCATCCCCTTTCTTCTCCCCAGGGAGGGTGAGGCCCCTAAGAATGTTTTTAATCTAAAAAATTCACTACAGTTTCAAACATACAAATCAAGTGGGATTTTTGTTTTTTTTCTTTACCATAGGTTGGAAAAGGCAAGCGCACTCAATGTGTAGCTCTCTCCCTCTACCATCTGGGGGAGGAGCTGATGGGCTTGTGGGAGGGGCCTCTGCTGGCAGTTGATGATTGACTGGGAAGCAAGCACAGATCAGGCCCCTTGATCATATGCCTTTCTACAGCATTTCCTTTCCTTTTCTTTCTGCGATGACACTTAACACATCTTAATGCCAACATGTTTGTATGGTTGGTTAAGACATTTTGAGAATGTATCCATGTAGAGATGGGTTCTTAGTAAATGGCCCCTCCTTTTGCTGTGAACTAGCTCTTCCCCAGCTTCTTCACATGGTCTCATCCTTGCTCTGGGTCATATGTAAAAGAACAACAGCCTGCAAATGGGCAGCTACAAAGATGCTGTGACTCTCCCACAGTTGAAGAGGCCCTTACAACAAATCCTTTGTAACCCAAGAGCTTCTAACAGCCAGGTGTTCCCACAGGTCAGGTCTGTGTGAGGAGAGAGATGACAGAGAACTGGGAAAATAAAGTGGAAGGAATAGTGTTGGAGATGTAGCTCTAACAGGAAGAGATAGAGGAGGGAAAGTCATTCAAATCTTACAAATGGTGTCACCTCTGTGGCAAGGGACAGAGGACAGGGAAGGAGGCAGTGATTTTTGATAAGGCAAGCCAGATGAAAAGTTTTATTTTTAGTATCCTCATACTTATTATTTTGAGCAGATTTAATGAATGATTAAAAGTAATATAAATGTTCAGAATTTTATAACTGACTACTGAAGCCATGAGCAAATAACACCATTCAATCCAATGAGTGCATGTGTCCTGCTGATATTTGAGGCTAGTAGAACCTTTGTGAGTGTCTGATTCAAAAGAAATGAGATATTTTGTATTGCCCTAGGAATGTTATCTTCCCACTAGAATTAAGACAACTTATGCCTCGGTGTAAGATATTTGCATTGAACTCTATTGGCAGAATGAACTCCCACAGCACTAACAAAGGCCTTTGTAAATTCTTGCTTCAGAACTCATTTTCCACATGCCCATTTATGTTCTTTAATAGAAAGACAAATGAATAAATGTTTTCATAATTGTAAAAGTGACAACTTTAAAAATTATCAAAATATCCTCCTTTATAAAGCCATGACTATAATAAATGAGCATTTAGAGGAAACAAGATGTATGTATGCAGATAGAGTACTTCTAGTCATAAAAATAAGTCATTACAGGCAGTCTGGGTTGCAACATGTATTTACTTCCGAGGTCACTCAGCAAAGTTGCATGAATTATTCTCTTGATTTCCACAAAAGATAATTACACACTGTGCTAATTTTCAGGACTCTGTGGGATGGATATAGTTTAGTTACTTTGACTCCATTCTTGTGTGTAATAGGAATAAAAAGACAAGATAA